TTGTGTCCAGAATTAAAAGAGAGTTTATCCAGGATGGGCTCGGACCTAAAGCAAGGCTTCATCAGCTCTCTGAAGAGTGCTTGGCAGACACTGAATGAGTTTGCCCGCGCTCACACCTCGTCCGTTCAACTGCATGAACAGCTCGCCATGGTCGCCAGTCAAATCAAAGCAGAAGAGGAAAAGCAGCAAGGGGAAGGCAAGTTAACCGCAGTTAATATCCTCTTACCTTTTTCATTTCATCATTTCTCCAGGTCACTGTGCACACTTCTGCTCAATCAAAATCTGAATCTCGCTGTTTGCAGAGGAGAATAAGATGGCTGAGAGTCCTGAGCCCCAGAAGGAAGAGGAGACACAAATAAAAGTGGGCATGCTGAATGGAGGGAATCGCGTTGACTACGTCCTGCAAGAGAAACCCATCGAGAGCTTCAATGAATACCTGTTTGCACTCCAAAGTCATCTGTGTTACTGGTATGTGATCTTTCATAATATCATGTATTAACAGCAGCATTACTGTCATGTTGTGTTTTATAAACACTTTCTTGTCTCTTTCCTCAGGGAATCTGAAGATACAGCCCTGCTTCTCCTCAAGGAAATTTACAAGACCATGAACATACACCCAGATCATTCAGTGCATTGATGTAACGGCTCACTAAAACTCCTCAGTCATCACAAATCACATTACTTTGAAGATAAAAGAATATTTTAAACAGTATTCAACTCTTCATCTGGGACTCTTTATTTTATTTTTTATTCTTGTAGTCTATATTAAAATACACTTGTATTATTCCATGTGTCTTAAATTAAGAAATTAAAGTCAAATAGTGGATTTCAATATTCGGTATAAAATGCCATTTTTATAGCTTAAATTATAGAGTTGCGAATGTTTGAGTCCAAATGGAATCAAATGGTATTAACAGAAATTGTATCTATAGTTAGTGAAGCAATATGCTGTATATGCTGTGTAAAACCTACAACCAACAAATCATAATAAACTGAACTATTATGAGCCGTTTTGTCGATTTGGCTTGTTAGACCATGTTACAGTTCTCTTCAATATATTGGGATATTTAAGAATTGATATTAGCTGGCACAGATTTAGCTCCCAAAATTTGACAAAACTGCTGGGATCAAATAGCAGGTTTACATTTCAAGGTTAAACTGCTGCACCACATCATGGTTTATTTTGGGGA